GAACCCAGCGTGACGTCACATGGTATGGAATACCAGGCTCTGTTTGGCCAGGTGGGGTCAGCCCCCACCCCCCGGCTGTGCCCCTTCCTGGATTCCGGTGAAAATTAACCCTGTTCTGGCCAAACCCAGGACATTACTGATTCACATTTTTTTTAAAATACTTTGAAGTAATTAGAAGAGAAAAACTCTGTTTTTTCTTTTAAAGTGCTAAATTTTTTTGATGAATAATTTTTACTTACTGTAGACAGGAAGATTTTCTCATGCACAGGAGCTAATAGCCTGACTTTAGTTAGATGTGATTTGTTCTAAATCTGTTGCGATTTCTTAGTGTATATCACAACTGTCCCTCACTATGGGAAACACCTCTCATTTTACAATCACATTCATCTGTTCTGGCGACCTGGTATTACAAATATTTTTTAATTACTTGGACTTATTTTATGTAACAAATGCTGAAATATTAAGAGAGACTATAGAAAATGTTGCATTATGTACAAATTATTTGTGAAAGTACACTGTTTGTGCAACAAATACTTTTGACTGACTATGGGGAAGTAGACTATTGATCACTTACAACAAATACATTGAATTTAACATAGAAATTCCAAGAATATTTTAGTATTTTATCTGATAAAGCTGCCAAAGTTGTTTTAAGAACTTGAGTTAGGTTACGAATATTTTTAAAGTAATCCTTCAGGATAGCTTTTCTGTGGTAATATCTGAGTGTGGCTATTGTATTTATGTAAAGTTGTAATGAAAATAACCCAGGGCTTCTAGAGAGGAAACAAGGGGAAACAGCTCACGTTTTTGCTCACTTCAGAAAAGAAATAGAAAATATACATTGCAGCAATTTCATTTAAGATCTCTCATAACTTCTTGCTCTGCTGTTAACAAAAGTGAAAATGATTTCTAGCAAAGTGTGTCTTGTCTCCTTCAACAGTGGCTGTGTGGTACAAGAGCAACAGCATCTTGTAAATGTCAAAGGGGAGGTCTGGATTGTGGGGCTGAAGGTGCAAACCTGGTTACTCAAACTTCCGGTACGAAGGAGACCATCAGTCTGGTTCCATTTGAGAGAGAAATAAGAGCTTTGGATTTATTTTTTCTTAGTATTCAGAACTTCTGTTGAAAGATTCATAATGGTTACAAATGTAGGTGCAAAGGTGTTAAGAAAAAACCCCAGAGGTTAGGTTGACCATGTGAACTTCATTATATTTGTAGGTATTATGATAGTGTCATTACTAATATAATCCCTCATAATATTTTAAACATTTTTCCAGTACTTGTGTCATTTAAGACACACAGGGAACTACGCTGCATCAGGACAACACCAGCGTGCTGTGAATATGCCTGTTGTCTGAACAGTTCCTACCTTATTAATTCTCAGTGTGCAAGATGCTTGGTGTAGGCTGTCAGGTGGCTGCGAGGCTGAATGCCATCTTTGAATTCCCTCCCTGCCTCTGCCACCAGAGTTGCTATGAGATGCCGAGCAAATCACATAAACTGACACAGTCTCATTTCATCACTAATTGTGTGTTACTAATTTTCTTAATACCCAAACTAAGACACCTGTAGCCAGAATCAAAGCAGTATAAAGTGTTCACCACTGTAATAAGATATAATGGGAGCAGTGCTTTAAGTGTGTGCAATGAAACTGTGAAGTATACTTGACATTGAGAGGTGTCAAGATAGGCACCCAGAATTATTCTCAGTCTCTGTTCTCCGCTTTCTTACATGAAAATAATAGTATAACCTAATCTTGCAAAGACTGTGAAAAAGAGCTTCCCTAATATTTGCAGGACAGTTGGTGCCATGGCAGTGAGTGATGAATTATGCACCTAAGCTAGAAACCTGTTTATCTTTTGTAACACATACTACTTATATTTATATTTAGGTCTGACCCTGAAGAAGATTTTCTGCTCTTTCTCCTATTTAAATGAATATTAAATAGAATTCTTAATATTGCGATCAAATAGCCTGTGGGAAAGTGTATAATAATTATGTGTTATTGTTCAGTCCAACATGGTTATAAAGTAACACAGCCTATCTGCCTTTTGAAATGAAAGCATTAAACAAACAAAAAAATTATGCTAAATACATCTCATGTCTTAATCTTCATTCTGTTTTATTTACTTAAGCTCCTCTTCAGAGCAGTATCTGAAATCTTTACAGTCTTTATTACTTAACACTCAGAATGTTTGTATTAGCTAAGGAAATAATATAATTCCCATTTTATCGACTTGGAGGTAAAACACGGTCAACATAAGCCCATACATATTAAAGGACATCAGTGTGTGGAAGTTAGGGGCTTCAATTTCAAGTTTATGGGTGCCAGCTTTTAATCCGAACTCTGGACCAAGCTCCTTATATCGTGAACGACACCTGAGAAGGTGACATCCAAACCAGAGAGCCAGGTAGGCAGATCACAGACCGTCCCCTGTGGTAGCCCTCTGCTAACCAAGAGGGAGTTTTCTGAGGCCAGGGCTAAGTCCGCGATGGTGCATGTAAGGTTCGTCCATACACTTCACATTCAGTGATCATTGGGTGAAAGCCAGAAGCAGACCCAGCCTTTGAAGATGGCTGGCATCCTTCGGCGATGCCTGTTGCCTGGAAGCCTGTGAGAGACCTGGGCAAAGATGCTGGCAATTTCTGAATTGTGTTCCAGATTAAGGGTGACCTTGGTGTGAACCATGGAGCCCTGGCAGTCCGAGCTGTTCTGGGCAGGCAGAGAGGCACCCAGGGAAACTTTACAGGCAAAATAAAACTATTCCGCATTAGGCAGGTGGCAAATGAGAGTTGCAGCATTGTGATTTTTGAGCTTTCGTACCTGGGCTCCATCTCAGACATCATTAAATGTCTTTTCTGCCTTTGCTGAAAGACACATGATATAATGCAGTAAGTTGAACCTCAGTTTGTCTTGTATGTACCTACTTTTTTTATTCCCTGCTGTTGTCCTATTGCTTATTATGGACACATTTGGCCACTGTCAAATTGAATGATTTTTTGCATACTTGGTTGGCTGATTCTTTTTTTCCTAATCTGCTGATACAGTCAACTGTGCCAGTAAAGCAATTATGCAAAATTGTGTATAAAGGTTTAATGATACAAAACAGTGTTCATCACAAATCTAATTGAGATTCTTACCATCCTTCCATAAACTAAAGGTTTTGAGATGTTTGAATTAGGATCTCTTGTTTGATATCTATATTGTTAAAAAGTATGTTTAGTTTAGCAGATCAGGAAACATTTAATGTACATGTCACTGTTAACTGTGGAAGGAAGCAATAAACAAAAATAGTGATTCGGAGGTGTTCAGATAATGGTGTATATGCTTTCAGGTGATGATTAAGAGAAGTCTGCTTTATTACATGTCTCATTAGGTTGCACTGTTACCAGTTTTACATCACAAATGATAACTATGTGTGGCTGATTGTTCCTGTAATACAATACAAAGATGAAAAACATAGACATAGTAACACAGCAGAATAATGTGTCTGAATAGTGAAAACAAAGAGATGGTAGGTTAAAACAGAATTGACAGGTACAGTGTACTGAGGCTTGATATCTGGTTTCCACTAGGGTAACTGAACTGGTTCAGGAAAAAGAGCAGTAAAGCAATACTTGGTAATGCTTTCACTGAAGCTGAAAATCCCAAAGGCTTTTCTTGGTCCAGATTACAGCTTTAAGAAACATTTCAAAATATATTTGTGCTTCATGTTTGCATTGATATTTTCCGATTTCTGCCCTGCTGCTTTCCTTGGAACCCTGTCTGGGATTTAATCCTACCACAGAATGTATTAGCAAGTCAGATATTGTTATTAGTACTGACATTTAGTAGAGTCCCGTTTGTATCAGGTCATTAAGTACTGCAGGGAGAGACCTTCTGCCACAGCCAGAAAGCACACGCTGCTTCCCCTTGGCTATGTCCATCAGACTGCGTATGAGAAGGGAGAGCAAAAAGTGCCTCTCCTTCTCATCCCTGTCTCGGTTAACAGTTCTCAGCTGTATGTCATCTTGGTGCTAAGGAAGCATTATGGGTTGTGAGGACGGGCAATCATGAATAACCTGGTGGTGCTTTCCGCTGCCTCCTGAGTCAGGAGAGAAGTGCGTCACACCTGGGTGCTGAATTATGAAGGTGAATTCTGTTCACTTTGGTGCTCCACGTAGTCATAAGCATAAACACAGCAGTCTGTGGCTTGTCTAAACAGCTTTAACTTGCTGCCTTCTGAAAACAGAGGCCTGAATCAGTCATGGAGGTTTCAGGAATGCTAATTGTTTGTGTACATGAATGAGCTTGTAAATGGTTGTTTTTGCAGTCTTCCATAGCTCATCCAGGGTAAGTGTGTCACTACCAGAGAAAAGAAAAGAGAACGATTTTTTTTTTTTTTTTTTTTTTTTTTTTTTTTTTTTTTTTTTTTTTTTTTTTTTTTTTTTTTTTTTTTTTTTTTTTTTTTTTTTTTTTTTTTTTTTTTTTTTTTTTTTTTTTTTTTTTTTTTTTTTTTTTTTTTGGTCTTCACGGTCTACTAATACTTTCAGGGCTAGATATAATGTGCCTTTAACAAACCGTGAACTTCTCTCCTACTGAGCCACTGCATCCTGCCTACATTCAGTGTAGGCAGAGAACCGTTGTACTAATCCACTCTCTCATCATATCTCTAGCAAACACATGTAAGTGTTTTTCTTTGAATATTGATTTTGATGCAAAGAGTGTTAAGTCTTTTATTTGGCAACACAAACAAGTAGGAGATTGTGACTTCTCAACTTTGTAACCTTAATTGTGGAAGTTCTGGTTTTCAGCTGTGACATGTTTTGACCAATGTGTGACAGTCACGTTTGGCTTTAAGAGAACAATCCTACCACCTCACAACAAGCTTAGAATAGTTTACCTCTGCATGTAGGATAGCTGTAAAAGGTGGATGCTGAAATGTTCAGACTTTTGCTTTGCTTTTTAACAGGTACGGTTATATGCAAGGCCTGATGCAATCCGAAGAGGATCGGGGGACTATGCTCTAAATATTACAAGGAGACTCATTGAATTTTATGAAGATTATTTTAAAGTGCCCTATTCCCTGCCAAAATTAGGTAAGATTTCTACTAGAACATGAAGCTCACCAAGAGAGGGGAGATTAAGTCCAGTCCTAAATTTCTTTGTAAAAAGCTGAATGTACTAGATTTCAAGGTAAGAAATGTTTGAGTTAAGAAAGAATGATTGTTTAGAAAGACCAATAAGTAAGGAATTTTTCATCTCTCCTTTGCAGAGGAAGGGAAGTCCAGTTGTCCCCTATACAGCCTTGCACTGAAGGCACCAGACAGTACTTAGATTTGTTAGGCAGTGGGACTCCAGGAGGAGAACTTGAGACCTTTCACTGATAAGTGGGTTGGGATTTTTTGGTGCTGTTTATTTTGGTCCATACTTTCATTAGACAGCCACTGGGAGATGTTTGTTCTGTAATACTGGTGTCTTGATGCCTCAGCCTTAGATGGGGAACAGAGCTGAAAATATTTGTAGAAACTGGGAACCTGTAACAGTGCAAGGCAGTACTTTTTTTATGCTGGCTGATGTGTTTTATTAATGATGATTAGTACATATGCTTAATTGTATTGTTGCTTATTGAAAGATTTTCTGTGAACCTGTTTTGCTGCTGGAGTGACCTAAATGTAGAAGCTGTCAATTTCTATTACTTTTTAAATAGTTTCTTCTCCTCCTCCCTTTCACCACAATCAATTGTTCTCCTACACACTTGAATACTTTACACCATATGGTTACGCCCTCCCTCCTTCGAAGCATGTTTGATCAAGATCCAGAAAAGCCTATTGCTCAGCAGTAGGAAGAGAGCTTGTATTTGATCAGAAGTGTTAGGGTTGGAACCACAGGTGATCATCCGAGGAACTCAGGGTGTATTTCATTAAATTCCTTGCCTGGTGAGTAGCTTTATTAGTCTTACAGCTAACGATGAAGGAGATAGATAAAGTAATTGATGTTGTTAGATGAGGGTGTTGCATGAATTTTTTATAAGAATGTTGTGGTATTTGTATCTTGTCATCTTTAAGTGATGGGCTACAGGCAGTGTTCTCCTGCAAAAATATGCAGATGGGTTAAACGTGGCCCATGCATCAGACTTGGTGTGTGTCCTTTCATACCTGGCTTCAGGTATGTAATGGTGATTTCATAAAGGAACTTCTAGACTTACCGGTGCCAGAAATTTAGAAGGAAAAAAATAATCAAAAACTTTCCATTGAATATAAAGGACGAACAGTGGGAGTCCGATCATTACTTCAGGTAGTTTACTGAGAATGCCAGGTAGCCGTAGGCAGTAGTGACTGTATCTGCTTCAGAATCTTTTTCACAATTGCAACATACAGTCTTTCAACTCAACATGCTGTATACGTTATCATTGTGCTGTGGCATATCTTTGAAAAAAATCTCATCTGAAATGAGTATGTACCAAACTGTATCTCTTTGGAATAGAACAGGAGGAATAGTCACAAATAAAATTGTATTTTTTCATCAAGTATTTGCAGTAAAATTGTTGAATTAATATGAAAAACAGCTGGAAAACTTTAGTTATTCTGTAATGATACTATAGGAAAGAGTTTTTAAATTTTTTTGTGCTGTGATAAGGGTAAATTCATTTAATGTAAATATAATAAGGAAAATTTCAAAACTCTCTGTGACGTAAACATTTTTGAAAATTTTTTTTTTGTTTTTGTTTTTTTTTTTTACTGGGAAATGGGAGGTTAGGGACAGTAGTCTGATGGGTAAATAGAGAGACTGAAAGTGAAACCACTGTAGTCTTTCTGTGATAGTGATTTTGCAGTAGTTTTAATGAATTTTCTGAGGGAGAACACAAAACATCATTAGCTACAGCAATGGAAGGAGCGTGCATAAGGAGTACGCGTTGATACAGATAACACACGTGTGCTGTCTGAAGCCTCAGGACTATCAACTGAGATTCTGCTGTCACCACTGCAGAGGACTGTGTACTTCACTAAGGTTTTAAGAAAAATCAAAATTTTCTGTGTGGGACTTTTTAGGAGTTTTTCATTTTATTTATAAATGAAATGTGAAATGCCTTCAAGCAAGAGTGAAAATTGAAGAATGTAGTTTAAAAAGCTTTTTAACGACAGTGTCAGCTTTGTAGAAAATGTTCTGTTTCAAACATAAATGTTTTAAAACATGATGAATTTTGTTTCACATATTGTCTAGTTCTAACAAGAGTGAACTAAACTAAATCTAATTATTTTTGTTGAAAATACATTTTATTTTTTCAAAAGAATTTTGTTTTTGAAATACTGACCAGCTTACTGTGCAGGTGCTATATGAATTACTGAGCAACATGTTAGTGTCAGTGCTGTATGCTGGGGTGTGTGTTTGGGGACAAGGGACGTGCAACCCTTGGTGAAGCAATTCTGTTGTCTATGTGGTCATCCATTCGAACTCTCTGTACAGTAGGAGTATCTGAGGACATTCAGGCGCTTCAGATGTGTTGCTGGTATTAGAGGGACCTGTGTTCATTTGTTTGCTTCTTATGTCATTGAGGTATATTTCCACAGATCCTTGGCATCTGAAACTAGTGCTCCTCATCTGAGATTGTAATAAGTCAGCTAGTGTTTTCTATAGGAACCACTTTCTCCCCACGCTCTTGACTACTTGACTGGTTTTGACCGGGCTTTTTTATTGTACTTAAATGCAGTCAGATGTCTCTGGTTGCTGTTGCCGGTTGTGGGCTCCTCTGACTTGGCAGCCTCTGTTACTATAAGGAACTGTGGAGAATCTGGAGTAACATTTTTGTCACCCAATGATGAAGATTTTTTTAGGTTTTGTAAGGCCTGTAGTGACTTCTGAATGCATTGGAACAGTAGATTTGTTTGCCAATTGATGTAAATTCTAGTAATGAATCCGAATTGGTGTTTTTTCTCATTTAAATAGCCAAATTCCACAGTTAAAAGTTCTACTCAGCTTGTAGATATGTGCTTTTTTCCCCCATCATGCTCAGAACAGGAAGGTGCTTGTGTAGGGTTTTAAACTAATAATTTTTGTATGAATTTCATTTCTGGAAAACAAGTCAGGTCTTCTAAAAACCCTGTTTTTCCAAGACTATATCATTACAAAAACTAGTTAGAATGAGGAGTGGATGATGCATGGGGTTTTATTTAATTCTAAAAAAGAAATGCAGTAGGGCTTTTAATTGTTTCTGTGGCTGTTCAATATAAAAGATATTTCTATATTTGTATCACATATTTATTTTTAATCCAGAAAAAAATTTCTTTGTATGCATAGAGCTTTTTCTTACAAGGATCTTCGAGACTGGAATAGTTTCCCTATGGGGAATGATTATATAAGCAAGCACTCTCTACATGTGGACAGTTGTGACTTAAGTTGTGAATGACTTGGGGTGGAGGGGTGACTGCCTCTTCCCACCAAGAGTCAAGGGCCACCCAGTGAGGTTAGCAGGAGACAGGTGCAGAGAACACAGAAAGATCATTGTTACTGCAGCAGGTGGTAGATTTGTAAAACTCCTTGTCAAGAGAGATTGTAGATGCAAAAAGATTATACAGGTCCAAAGAGAGATGTGGACAAGTACTTGGAGAGGTGCTCTGTGGGAGGAAATCCCATGGTTTGAAAATAGGATCTAGGAAATACTCAAGAGAGTGCTATTTATATTCCCTGGTCTTATGACCTGAATGTCTGATGTGGCTGCTGTTGAAGAGGAGAATACTGAGCTAGGCAGTCTTTTTGTCTGAACTGTCAGGGTCATCCGTATATTCATAGTCTTCCATTTTCCCAAGTGCTTCTACTAAAGGGCTATGGAATCTCTTCTCCAGAATACTTAATGTACTGGAACTGGGAAACTTTTTAAGGCTCTGGTTATGAAAGACTGACAAAATTCCATGTGTGGTGCATAAACAAACCACTTGTGTGAAGATTTTTGGGTTTCTGGACCTTGGTTTTCTTCCTCTTAACAACACTGTAGTATCACAGTGTTAGTTGGATGCATTTACTGCTTCTCTGAAAAGTCATTTTACAACTCAATTTATTTTATTCTGAGTACTGTACTTTCACAACCATGTGATTAGTGTAACCACTATGTTCCTTGCGTAAAGAAACTCTGGTGTCTCAAGGGTCAGACACACAGTGCCTAACCCAAAAGCACTTTGCTTGGATTCGTGCAATTTCAGGCGCTTAACTGGTGTGTCTAAACTAGCAAGCTGATTGTCCTAGGTTCCTTATTTCATTTGTGGAGAGATCGTCTTTGTGGGCATGGTTCAGATCTTATATGGGCAGTCTCCCACTGGAACTGCCCAGGCAAGAGAAAAAAGTATTTTATTAATCATTAGCAAGTTTGCTGATGATACCAAACCGGGAGGTGCTGTTGGCTCTCTTGAGGGACAAGAGGCCTTGCAGAGGGAGCTAGATAGATTGGAGCATTGCGCTATGATTAATGAGATGAAATTTAACAAGTCCAAATGCCAGTTCCTGCACCTAGGGTGGAGTAATGCTGGGCACAAGTACAAACTGAGAGAGGAGTGGCTGGAGAGCAGCCCTGCAGAAGGAGATCTGGTTGAGAACATGCTCAATATGAGTCAGCAGTGTGCCCTGGCAGCCAAGAGAGCAAACTGCATCCTGGGGAGCATTAAACACAGCATAACCAGCCAGTCAAGGGAGATGATGATCCCGCTGTATTTAGTGTTGGTGCAGCCTTGCCTTGAATACTGTGTTCAGTTCTTGGCCCCACAGTTTAAGAAGGATGTGAAGGTCCTTCATTCTGTCCAGAGAAGAGCAACAAAGCTGGTGAAAGGGCTGGAAGGCATGCACTATGAGGAACAGCTAAGGACTTTGGGTTCATCTAGTTTGGAGAAAAGGAGGCTGAGGGGTGACCTCATGGCTCCCTACAGCTTCCTGGGGAGGGGACATGGGGAGGGAGGTGCTGATCTCTTCTCGCTGGGATCCAGTGATAGGACACGTGGGAATGGTTCAAAGCTGTGCCAGGAGAGGTTTAGACTGGACATTGGGAAGCCTTTCTTTTCCAAGAGTGGTCAAACACAGGGTTCCTGGAGAGGTGGTTGCTGCCCCAAGCCTG